ATTTTTCCGTATTTATAAACTAATTTCTGGCTGAGTTCAGACCGTTTTCATTCATTCTGACTGAAAATATTTAACACTGCCATTTTCAGCCACTAGATGGCACTCGAGTTATATGGCATGTCGTTGTGTCATGTAATAGGTTAAAGTGGCTATTAATGACACAATCGGCTTGCCATAACGTGCCACCTTCGTCCAGCTCACCTGGAGCAACCGTCAAATCAGATTCATTTCTCTGCAGCGGTGAAATGCAGCTGATTTGACCGTTGAAGTGATTTATTAAGTAAAACTTTAACTGAGACACATCTTTACTATAATGTCGAGCAAACAATTGTTTTAAGTGTTAATATGTAAAATTCTTGTTAAAGTCCTCCCGTGCACGCTCCCTCCATTTGGCAGCCAATCGATTATTGTCACAACACCGGCCCACATTTCCGTGTTTTCAGCGGTGACGCGTAATAGATGCAACGTATTTAAGGATTTTTCCACTTTATTAGTCATATTTGGACTGATGTGACTTATAGGGCGGAGCGACGTGTACGGCAGCAAGTACGGTATTTTTCAAGCTTTCAACATCAAGTTGATAAAGTGGCTTGAAAGAAAACCATTTTCCAGCTACACTTTTAGGTTCTTTAAAGTAACAACATAAAGTCTAAGACAAGAACAGCGAGTCTTATTAGGAAGAAAACATTATTTTTTCTTTTCTCTAGTCAAAGAGTGATCTTTACCTTTGACCTCAGCCTTGCTGCGCTCTTCCTTCTCCTCCTCACATTCTGGTGGTTTCTGTCCACCAGGAGGCTCAGGCTGCGGCTCCAGTTCACTGGAAGCAGCGACGACGTCAGATTTACTCCACGGTTCCACCTCCGTCTTCGGACTCTCCGGCTGGACGTCACCTGACGGAGCGGACGTGTCTCCGCCCACAATGCACAGTTCGGCTGAAGCATTATGTTCTTCTTCCTCTCTTTTGGTTTCTTTGCTCATCGTTTGTCCTCGAACAGATTTTCTCACTGTAGAAGATGAACACAGTGAGTTTCTGGTTTTATTCTGGTGGTGGTGCCTAAAGAGCAGAGCTGGTTTGTGTTACCAGGAGCTTGTCTGCTTCTCTTCTTGGGCTGGCCTCTTGTGGCTGCTGCTGGTTCCTCCTCTTCAGTCATCACCAACTCATCCACAGTAACAAAGTCATCACTTTTCTCTGCAACAACAAACCAAAACATAATCTCAGTCCTTCAACACACGACACTCGTACGTGGTTAGATGAAAGACATCTGGACAGCTTGTTTCTCCAAGATGTTTCATGTAACGGTGGGTTAGAAGCTCCAGGCTCAAGAGGTCAAAGACCTTCAAGAATCAAGAAAAGACGTCCAGTTCTTTTTATTTTAACCGTAAAGCAAAAAAAACAAAGTTTCAGACTCGTATTCAAACCTTTCACTTCCTGTACAAATCTTCTGTGGCTTAATTAAATGTAATGTTACTACATGGTGACACTTTGTTAATGATATAGAACCTAAAAGTACAATAATATAGTAATATAAAAGTACTAACTTCTATC